AGTTATTTTGTTTTGTGCGTGGTATTTGAGAATTTAATTCACTCGAATTACGCGTTTTCTGCCGAACTACAGTTTGACGGAAAAAGTCGTGGTGACCCAGATCAATGTAGCCTGCTCTAGCGTTATAGATAAGTACCAAGTCTTTCATTTCCCTTCTATATTCTGGTGATAATAGAGAAAGTTTAAGCAGCCGATCCCTGTAGGACATATCCCTTGGATAATTCAAGATAAACTTTGTGGCCCTGCGCTGAACGTTTTCTAACAATAGTTTGTCCTTTGACGTGTAAGGTGACCATAGTTCACAAGCGTACTCTAGTTGTGGTCGAACAATTGAGTAGTATAAAAGTTTCTTGATGTCAGGATCATTGATATCTCTATAGACCCTACGAATAAGGCCAAGCGTTCTGTTTGCTTTAGAGGAAATCAGCTTTATATGTTGAGACCATTGGAGAGTATTGGTGACAGTTATGCCACCCGTTAAGGTGGTATTCCCATTTTGTGGGAGTTTTCTTCCTAGAGATATTCAAGGCCTTACATTTGGGTATGCTGAGACACATTTCCCAGGTATCACTCCAGATTGAGAGCTGCGTTAGGTCTTGTTGAAAATTTATCCGATGGTTTTTCAATTATCTTAAACAGCTTAGAATCGTCTGCAAATATGGCAACTTTAGAGTCATGTTTAATACATTGAGGAATGTCGTCTATATAGACAAGGAAAAGCAGAGGGCCCAATATTGAGCCTTGCGGAACACCGGACAAGACTTGTAACGAGTCGGAATAGGTGCCTTGTAGTGCTACTCGTTGATATCTATCAGAAAGATAGCTCTGAGAACAGTTTATTTGCTGCCCAGATATTCCACTTTCATTTTCTTTCATTCACAAAATCAGATTAACGGCACCCTCTTCCCCTTGAATAGGTAATAGATACCCTAAATTTATTTAAGTAAAATGAACTGCAGTATCAAAAAAAAGTGCAGTTAAAAAGTGAGAAGCAAATTGGTACTGTCACAAAAGTTTGTAGGGAAGAAAGATAAAAATTAAAACTAGATTACGTAGTAAAGTCATTCTTTTTTGGAGAAGTAAGCTTGTGGTCAGTACAAGTCGAATAAATTGTGCAATTGTCCTAGTAGTGGGTAAGTGAGTTTGAAGAGATATTTTTCTTGCTCTCAATATGTGGTTGAAATGTTGCAGTTATATTTGAAAGTGAGCACATAGTGAGACAAACTATAATACTTATTGATTATTGGCACCATAAACATTATATGCTGCGTTAAACAATATTAAAGAGAGATTTTACATCTCAAAGTGTAAGAGAGTAGTGACCTATCTACAAGTAAAATTGCTGTTTTTGATTTTTTAGAAGACATGTAAAAGCAGAGGCAAAAATAGTAACTTTATTCTTCTGTTCCATTTGTTGCATCCGAAGGTGATAGGAAACAATGTAATATGTGATGATTTAAACAGTGATGGATTGGCAGAGATATTTTGGTTTAAATGTTGAAATGTTAAACAATCTGCATTATGGCTTTTAGAAATGCAGGCACTCTATCTAGGCCCCTATGAATAATGAGCCTTCCCTTTATATTGATAGAGGCTATAAGTTTTCTGTAGGATTTGGTTTACGTTTTATAATTTTATAATCATTTTATTTTTATTTGCACAGTTACCTGTTAGTTCAGAAGACTTTGACATCAGAAAGTTTAAGAAGATGAAATTATTGCAGAGATGAAACTGAGGTGGGTGCATCTAACTCTTCCACTTTTTCCAAGATTTAATTCACTTTCAAAACAATGCAGGTAAATAACATTAGTAGACAGCACTAATTAGAACATGATAAAATATTAAATGTTAACAGCTGGTTGAATAAAAACTGGTAGTACAGTGTGGAGTACTGTTCAAACCTCATCAAGTCATTATTATCACCTTGATGTGACCTGAAATCTTATCAAAGATACAGAAAGCGCACCAAGGTAGAGATAATAGTATACAAAGAGCACAGAAATCTCTTTGTTGGCCAGGAATGCAAGTAGAATTTAGGTAAACATGCTCGTATTGTGGTGGAAAAAAAACCCATACACTCACATGCCATACTATCTCGGCCATTGGTAAACACTGTCTATGTTTCAACAAAATGGCAATAGTTATCTTGTGCTTCTGGACCACTATAGTGACCACATGGAACTTAAGTCTCTAAGAAATACATCAGCTAGGACAGCCATTACAGTCATATACAAGTCTCAAGAAATCTCGTTTTGAGGACCAGTACCTGGCTTGACTTTTGACTCTTTTGGCATGAGGAAACCTCCCCAACAGAGATAGCAGTATTCACCAGCCCAGTGTCTAATGTCTCACAACCTTAAGAACGTCATTCCAACGGCTACTGGTCAACCCATTCCAAAACCGGCATCTAAAGAGAGCAAAATGTTCACATCTCATATTCTCACCTCGCCATGTATTCAGTAAAAATTTGGAAATTTAACATAGAAAATGGATATTAATGAAAAAGACCCTGTTAATAATTTTCTGAACATTCTCGAGGTTTAACCAGCAAATGACTTGAGCCTTTCACGAGCCTGTGAAGCGGCAGAACATAAAGAACAACTTGCCATTCTCATTGCAAGTGGAAAAGCAAAGGAAATGATTGGTGTGCCTCTCACCCAGGGCCAAGTCAAGAAGCTTTCTGAACAAGATGTTGAGATATACTTGGGGCGATATGAAGCTTCATGGTCTTCTTACTTTGGACAGGTAAGCTTCTGGTCCATACATGTAAAATGAATAATCCACGTATCAAAGTAGGGACAAGTGAGTTGAAAGAGGTATTTTTCTTGCTCTGAGTGTGTGGGCGAAATGTTGCAATTATTTGTCAAAGTGAGCACACAATAAGACAAATTATAAATACTATATATATATATATTTCTTGAAACCTTTGCTTTTATTACAAAACTCAATTCTACAAAACATTACTTACAATGCCAGACTCATGACGCTACTCTACTTACAGAACAATACTTACGATACTTACAAGGTAGGTTACTCATGCTAGCAATACAAATAAACAATATTAACTGCTGGTTTTGATCATACGAGTAAAGAGTTTTTAATTCGTTGAAGAATTCTAGTATCTTCGTATAGAAGAGCGGGATATCATTAAAGTAGTTTGTCTCGTAGTTGCATCTTAGAAGAAAGTTTAACCCTTCCTTACTTCTGAAATAATGTTTTGGAATAATCCACCAATTACTGTTGTTTAACTATGTTTTGTCCAATTTAACATGCTTAGAAAAATTCAACAGAGTTTAATTCATTCAAAATGATAATATTTACCAATACTAAGAAAGTAACATTCTGTTTTATATTTAGTTTACAGAACATGCAAATACTGAATCAAAATATGAAGTATATATGCTATGGGATGCATTGGAGACAAGCATTCTAGCTATGATAAGAAAACCTATCATGTTGCTACCTACTTGAAGTATCAAAGCACCGTACAGAAGGCAAAGTGTACAACAACCCAGAACTGCTGGCCTATACATCTTACACGTAACAAGGAATAGTACCAAGTCTTTGCTTGAAGATTTCAGTAGGAGCAGCTTATTGAAGAAATGAGAGGTTGAGCTGCTGATTTCATTTACTTCAAGGCCACCATGAGTGTACTATGGTACAAGGAGATGGAAGTCAAGTACCTCCAGTGTGTGTGATATATGGTTATGTAATGAATAACCACTTCTGAGAGCTGAACCTTGTCCAATAACTCATGACTATCATCCTTGGTATTTAACTCCAATTGCAAGGTAAAGATCATTTTGATAACTACAATCTTAGCCTGTCTAAAAAATTAGACAGGCTAAGATTTCTTATAGACTAAAAAAGATATCCCTTTTACTTTATCTCTCTTTTTAGTGAGCAATGAAAAAAATTTAAACCTTAAAATGTCACAAGCTTAAAAATTGCAAAATCTGAATCTTTTCTATAAGTTTGTTGTTTGTTTTTTTTCTATGTATCAAAAAAGTAACTAAAAAATAGCTTGACTAAGCAAACTGAATCCTGTAAAAAAGAAAAAAGCTGGATTAATTCAAATCTTGTGATATTTTCAAGGGTCAAATTATATCATTGCTTCACTTTTTCTCTTGATCTTTAGGAAGGATGTCAATATTTGATTCATATGCATGTGTTTTCAGTAAACACAGGGTCAAGTAATAGTCTGAAAAAGTTGCACAATATAGCACATCAAGGATAAATTTTTACTCTCGGTTCCTAAAGTTATTTTGGGACTAGTAGATAGAATAGTTGTTAAATAATTTTTTTCCACTTTACATAATAACCAAAGCACATTTCGAAGGGTCACATGATAATTTTGTCAAACATGAAAACATCAAAGCAGTATCAAAAGAAACTTGTTTGGCATGTTTCCACTTTAAGTAAATCAAGGAAAGGTTGGAAAAGGTGTCTAAGCTATGTTGTATATTAGGGGAGACAAAATGGGCACTTTTGTGAAAAAAAAAACAGCAAGAGTTTGAAAACATTTCTGTTTTTCTTTGTTTTGTAGTCATCTCGGCTCAAGTGCAGTAACCTGTACAATCATCAGCTGTTGGATCAGGAGTAGAAGCAGGGCGCCGTCTCTATGATGTAAACCAATAGCTTCTACAGTTTGCTGCTACCCCATTTCCCCTTCGTCATTTTCCTCTGTGCCCAGTTCTCTTAGAGAGGATTAAACTGCTTGCTCAAAGGGTATATACTTCACGGCTGAATGCCATATTGACGAGATGATTGCAGAATGGTGTATTACAGTGTAGGGGACTTAGTTGATCTAGTTTCCTTACTTGGGGCCCTTTAATTACTTGAGACGGTTTACTTAGTTAAGGTACTTTACTTATTTGAAGTGTTTTCCCTACTTGAGGTGGTTTCCTTCCTTCACGTCTTTCACTAACTCAAGGTGCTGTACTTTCTTCAGGTGCTTTATTTACTTAACATGCTTTTCTTCCCTTCTGCAGCTTCCTCAA